GTGCAACTGCCAGCATTCCTCTTGGACGTGTCCCGGTTTTTTGCAATGTCTGCAGTGCTTCTCCACCGCATTTATTCTGGGTGTCGTCTCGGGTTTCGGCAGCTGAAATCGATTTGCATATCGACTGCTTCGGCAATCTCTGCTATAATGTCCGGGTTTTCCGCATTTGTGACACGTTACTTTCGCTTTATTATCCTTCGGCTGCGAGTTTGCATAGCCGTTTCTATATCGTGCCGTTTCCTTCGGACTATTAAATTTTTCCTCGGCACTTGCGCCAGCTATGGCGTCTTGCATGTTCTCGTAGTTTCGGGCTCTGACGAGCAGTTTTATATCGTCTCTCAGTCCCAGCTGGTAATTTTGCAACGCTTGTTGCTTTATCGTCTCCAAGATGCCCTGTTTTACCCCTGACGGGCGACGTATGTTTTCTGTCATGGACTCGAATAATTCGTTAGCCAACTTTTCGGTCCGTAGTCCAAATTCTTGCGCGGTTTCTCCCGTTCTTTGCTTCGTGTTGAATTCAAGCTGCTAGTGCGTAGTGCTCTTCTTACTTTGATAGCACACGACTAATTCTTCTTTTAATTGTTCAAAATCTCTAATCTCTCTAGTACGAAAATCTGTCAAGGCTCTGCCTTTCAATTTGGTGTATAATACGCCTTCTAATAGTGCTCCTTCGTCGAGTGGATCGATACTTTTTACTGCGTAAGTTATGACACGTAAAAATTCCTGTAGTTTGCTTGAGGTTCCATCGAACGGGGGTATCGAGTTTCGTGCTTCCTTTAAGGACATGTATCTTCCGTTCGAGTTGCGTTCTCCCGGCTGACCGGAATATTGTGCAGGCGGTGTCAAGTGGCTTGGCGATAGTATGTCATCGTCACGTCTGCTGGTGTTTTTTACCACTGTCCTTCCCGGGTCGCGTATTCGTTCGCGATCTTGGATTTTACTTATTTCTATCCGCATGTCGCGTATTACGCTTACTAATTCGGACACTGTAGCTCGTATATCGTCGTTCTGCGCGGTGGGCAATACTACCCCACTTTTAAACGGTGTACTGTTTCTGTTAATCCCGGCTACTAACCCTAACGCTTTGTCTATTTTTTGACCGACTGCGTTCGGATCCGTTCCTATCGCGTACGCCATGTCCCGTTGTTCTTTCGAATCGGGTTTATCTGTCGCGATTGAATTTAATGCGGACTCGTGCCTATTTACCAGGCTATATGCCGGACTGTTTTCCGGTTCCGTATCGGAAATCAAGATCACTTTGGGCGAAGTCGCGATTTCCTGATTGGGTACTTCTGTGGCGTCGGAGTCGGACTCCTCGCTTGTGTAGTACTCCTCTAAATTTCGGCGGACACGGTTTCGTCTATTTCGCGGTATGCGTTTGACCGTGTGTGAACTTCGCGGATTTTCGTTCGCTTTTCGGACTGCTTCACTTAACAGCCTCCACGAATCAATTTCGCGCGGTGTCGCAGGGCCACTCCCTGACATCTACTTTTATTCGTTTCGGCAATTTCGCTCGCTTTTACAAAAGTCTTAATACGACTTACATTAGACGCATGTTGATTTCTCGATCAATCCTGCTGTCGTAGTTCAGTGCCGCTCGGGTGTCGGCTGGTTGAGGCTGGTCAGGGCTGCTTCTCCGGTTTCCCTCGGCGTTATCGCTCGTCGGCTGCTACCGTCGGCTGCTACCGGGTGTCCGTGTCGTTCGCAATCCTCTGCTAGTCCTCGTTGTCTTTACTCAGCTGTTCCTTGGTCCTCTGAGGCAGTGTTCTCGACTCAGTTTTTCACAATCCCACCGCTGCCACCACTTTTGTTGCCGCGCCGCTCCGTGCGCAGTGTATTTTCCTTCTTACTCGCTCCGGAGGTGTTCTCTGACGAGAACCGAAGGGGTTCTTTGATGGGATGTGGCTGGTCGGAGGTCACTTCAAGAAGGCACCGTTGGATCTCACTTATTAACTTTATTTAACTGAGTTTCACAAGATTGGTTAACGGCAGGCCGAAGGCCTGACGGACAAGTGTTTAACGCGTACAGTATGTTATCGGATGCGCGATAGTGACAAGTGCCCCGATCTCGGGCTTTCCTCCGGTTTTAAACCCGATGATCGAGGTGTCAGCGTTCTCGGTACTCGATCGAGGTTATGCGTAATCGGGTCGAGAACTTGCTGACTTCTTCTCCGAATTTAATTAGGTTGCGCGGTCGGGCTTTTGTGGCTCGATCGCGCAATATGCTTACGCTAGTGTTATTCTAATTGCAGTAACACTGCTTTTGAGTGCCCTCGTTACCTCTTTCGGCAATCGGGGCACAACACTATCACCAATTAATCAGTAAGGCTCGATAACGGGCAGGCAGGCAGGCAGGCACCGCAATAATACAACCGGGAATACTGCCAGCTAAGCCAACAGCAATCCGCCCGAACGTAAAATTGCCAAACATCGAGCTCCCCAAATTTGACGGGAGCTACGAACGGTGGATACCATTTCGCAATCTATTCGAATCCTTTATCGCATCTAACGCGACTCTATCTGCAGTTCAAAAATTGCATTATTTAAGAAGTGCTCTAAGCTGTGAAGCCGCAAAGGTAATAACGGCTTTAGAGCTCACCAACGATAACTATGAGATAGCGTGGCGTTAAAGCAGAGATACGAGAATAAGAGGTTCATAGTTAAATATCTCATTCAAAATTTAATTGATTTGCCTTGTATTACTAAGGAGTCTTACGTAGATTTAAGAAACTTATTGGACACCGTTTCGCAATGCACGCAGTCTTTGACTAAGCTAGGGCAACCCGTGGGGAGTTAGAATACGTTGTTAATTCATATCATTCTTCCTAAGATCGATAAGGGATCTCGAAGAGAATGGGAGCTAAAAAGATCTTCTATAGAAGATTTTCCCACGTTACAAGAATTCGTAGAATTCCTCACGAATCGCGGTGCTTTCCTAGAATCGGTGAGTCGCGCCAATCGCAATGTTCAATCTCCCTCTTGTTACGATAACAAGAGCAATGCTAAATCAACGACCAACTAATGAACCAAATTTTAACTACTACCATTAAGAGCAAAACCATAGCTGAATAAACAAGCAAGGACAAAGAACTTTCAAAACTGAAAGAAGAACTTGCATCCGGGAAAACATATGATCCAGTTTACAACTTGCATAATGGTATTATCTTCAGAGGCCGTCGTATGTTTATACCGACATCTTTACGTTCAGAAATTCTGAAAGAATTACACTATACTCACCTTGGTATATCAAAAATGAAGAATTTGGCCAGGCGATATTGTTACTGGCGTAACATCCCTGGTAAAAATTTCGTTAGAAACGGATAGAACGTGGATTCTATCGGTTTCTGACTGCTCTACTATACGTTTTTGGCCCTGCAATTACGGATAGAAGCAGATGAAAAATGTTGCAAAACCTACAAGATTATGTACGCAAAAACGGTAGGGAAAGGCTAACTGCATCTAACTGATTCCTAATGGAATGAAACTTATCTGAATCTATGTGCAGACATAATTACGAATCCTATCCGTTCCTATACGCAGTGTTTTGAATGGCTATCCGCATCTAACTGCGGAATCAGACAGGATATATCTATTTGCATTTGTTCGTAACAGTGACGTCCGTTCTATCCGTTGCTTACTGCAAATGCGTATACGTATCCTATTAGTTTCTTCCAAAAGACAAATCGAACCCAATCTATCGATTGAGTGCAATTAGAAGTTCGTTGGATCAGCCGTTGTTGAGAACCGAAAATCTGAGGGCCCGTCAACTCGCGTACTCGCGTAAACTTACACGGCGGTGTCGCGCGCTTGGTTCTAGCTAGCTTATACTTGGCGCGAGACACTACCGCGTCTCGTGATTCATAATTGAGTTGTCCCGAACGCACATTGTCTATATACAGGGTGGTCTAAAAGTTCCGGAACGGTTGAATATCCCGAGAAATTGTGGGTGGATCGGAAAACGGAAAAATACGTATTTCCTATTTTTGAAAGAGCTATCGAATGATACCAAAATTGACCCCCCCATCCCCATCCCTGTGGGTGGAGCGGGGGACAACTTTAAAATCTAAAATAGGAACCCCCACTTTTTATAACAGATTCGCATTCCACGTTAAAAAGTACGTAAGTTTTGTCTGAAACATTTTTTTATTTGCCTAATACTTTTTGAGATATTCAAGAGAAAATTTATAACTTTCAGTGTTTAGCTTATGATATCTCGTTAACTATTTGTCAGAGGGAAAAGTAGTACAGGACTTTTTTACTTGATTTGGTCTCAGGAATATGCTGTCGCAATAGTGCTCTAATTATTAAAAATTTTTATGTATGTAAATTTGGTAGATGGTACAATACACAAAAATTTTCCATAATTGGAGCACTATTGCAGCAGCATATTCCTGAGATCAAATCAGGTAAAAAAGTCCTGTACTACTTTTCCCTCTGACAAATAGTTAACGAGATATCATAAGCTAAACACTGAAAGTTATAAATTTTCTCTTGAATATCTCAAAAAGTATTAGGCAAATAAAAAAATGTTTCAGACAAAACTTACGTACTTTTTAACGTGGAATGCGAATCTGTTATAAAAAGTGGGGGTTCCCATTTTAGATTTTAAAGTTGTCCCCCGCTCCACCCACAGGGATGGGGGTGGGGGGGGGGGTCAATTTTGGTATCATTCGATAGCTCTTTCAAAAATAGGAAATACGTATTTTTCCGTTTTCCGATCCACCCACAATTTCTCGGGATATTCAACCGTTCCGGGACTTTTAGACCACCCTGTATATATATGAACATAAAAATTATACAAAAATTATTTATTCTTAAAAATTACCACAATTATAAGAAATAGACTATAGTTTTGAAAATATATAGTGCTGATTAACCTTTAATAACTGGGTACAGTTGCACTTGTTATTTGTAATTTTAGACAAACAATACGTACAGAGGCAATGCGATTTTCTATCAGCAATTACGTCTACGTATCGATTGCAACGAGTAAGTACAGGATGCGGACAGAAACCGATACGAATCATATTAATAATTGCAAACAGATTCCTAGAGGTCGACATTTGCATACAGATGCAGATGGATACGGTATCCGCAATTGCGGATAGATACCGTCAGTATCCGATGCGTACAAGATGCAGACAGAAACGGACAGGATTTTCTATTGCAAAAGCTTATAGATACTGATATGCCGATAGATTTCTATTAGATGCAGATATACGCTGTTACATTTTCTGTCTGCATTTGCAGATACAACAGTGCTGCTTATAGAAACAGGTAGGAATTGAATCTTCTCATGAAGCTTGCAGTTAGATCGGACAGCATTCCGTTAGAAACTGTTAGATGTCGTATACAAGTTCTATCTGTTTCTGACTGTTTCTAATGGAAATTTTTACTAGGGATTGACAGAGACATTGAAAGTTTAGTACGATCATGTCCAGAATATGCACAAGTGCAGAACAACCTTGGAAAAGTTGAACTTCACCACTGGGAAGATCCAGAAACTAAGTTTCAACGCGTTCACATAGATTATGCCGAACCATTTCAAGGATACCAATTCTTCATCCTCGTAGATGCTAAGTCTAAATGGCCGGAGATCAGGATTACAAATGGAGATCCGACATCTGCATCAACCATCTGTTTCTTGGAAAATATTTTCAGTTCACACGGATCACCTGAAGTTTTAGTATCTGATAACGCTACAATATTTAAAAGCGAGGAATTTACTAAATTTTTTCGAAGGAATGGTATTTTTCAAAAATTCATTGCTCTAGGACATCCAGCTACTAATGGCCTTGCAGAAAGATACGTTCAAATTTTCAAAAAAAAGTTAAAAGCCCTGGAACATGAATCAGATACTATAACGTCAAAAACAGAAAATATCATGTATCGTTTTCGGGCTACACCATTACAATGTGGCAAAAGGCCATCGGAACTCTATCTAAATAAACAAATTCGAACCAAACTGGACTTACCATATCCTTCGAACATAAGATAGAATTACAGTCAGAAACCTGATATGAAACAGCTAAACGTGGGAGACAGAGTACAGTCTCGTGCATATGGTGGAACCCAACACTGGAAGCACGGCACAATTACGAAGAAACTGGACCGACTGTACTACATAGTAGGGGAGACTGGAGTTAGATGTTACAGAGGTAAAAAGTTACAGTCTTTAAAAGTAATGAAAAACCTATGGTGCAGCAGCGCCACAAAGAGAAAATATTTGACGGAACGTCTGCTGTCACGCCACACCCGTTAGTGGCGCTAGTAGTGTTTTGTTAACTTATGCATAGTGCACGTAGCAGGTGAAAACAGCAGGTTAGTAATTTTTCTTTTTCTTTGTAATTTTGGTCTCCCGTTGTTATCATTAGTATTATAGCAATATATTTGTATTATATATAAACCTCGAGGATTCCCATTTGTGCTAAAATAAAGTAAATATGCCAAGAATTCGGTAAATTTTTTTCATTGCATTTTGAATGTTCGATTTTAGTGTTGAGGTTAAAAGTTACAAATAGTCAGGGTTAGATGTGACATGTCACAATCAACCCCTTATTGAATATCAACTGAGAATGCTGATGTTTATTTTTATTATTTAGTATGCGAACTTACAAACGTAAAACTGAGCGTGGTACAAAATCAAGAGACCTGTACGAAAGAGCTGCAGTTATTCTGGATGAAGATAGTACCAAGAAAATTCACGGAGTGGCAAAAGATGTAGGGTTATGTCACATGACGTTGACTAGATTTATTTATTTTTATTTATTTATTTATTAACCAGAGAATATTATTTACAAGAGTATTACACAGAATACTACAATCGCAAATAACACCTATAGAGGCAAATGAATTGCCTGTACACAGGTCTGGTACTTACAAACTAAGATAAGGAATAGAAAAAAGTAACGATTATAAAGATTAACAAGTAATAAAAATCACCCAAAAAAACAATTTTGTAACAAGTAATAAAAAAATTTTTTTAAACAATTGTGTGTTTTCTTTACACCGGTTGATTTGTCTCATTATTCTGTTCAAAAAAGTATTAAGGTAAGATGATAAAAAAATGAATATTTTACAAGATATTTTGTAATTTATGTTAAAATATTGGAACTTTTAAACCTTAATAACTCAAAAAGTTCTTAATAAAAAAATACTTTATTATAGCGTTTTGGAAAGCTTTCGAGGTAAGCTATGAGAATATGTAATAAAAAATAGGGGATGCCATTTAAAAAAATTGGTGTGACTTTTATGTGACCTTCAAATAATTCTTTAAGATCAAACCAATGGTACCATCTTATGGCCCCTTCGAAACCAAACAACTTTTGTCTAAAATATTTTTGTCTGCTGGGCTCAGTTTTCGAGATATTTTACTGTCCAAGTTAAAATGGGACACCCTGTATATATAATCATTTCATTACTACAATAAGGAAATATTCATAACAAAACATGTGATAACGCAAGAAAATGTATCACAGAATTGAAATAAATCAAACATAATAAAACATAATAAAAGTAAACCACAAATCACTGTTGCTACATCAAATAATATGCCTTTATTCAGACATAATAATAATCTCTCACGATGAAAAATCAATCAAGCATTTACGAGAAATTATCAAAATTGTTTTGTACATCTCAAAAGCATCCAACTATTGAAAAACTTCAGCACTTATGATCTTTATAACGAACAAATAAACAACTTCTTGCGTATATGGATTTCTGGTCTTAACGAATATAAATACAATAATATAACTACAGGGTGATTTTTTTGTGGTACCCTATTTGTTTAAAAAAAATTAATAAAATGCGCTAAATGTGTTATTTTTCGTTTATTGTCGGTAAGTTTGGCTTTTTACAATTTGTTTGGTCATTTTTTGAAAACAATATCCAGCAAGTGGCCGCCGCCAGCTGCTATACACAAATCGGCCCCTTTTTCGGCATTTCCCATCACTCATTGGAGCATTTCAGGTGTAATTTGGGCGATTTCGTGGCGTATGTTGGCCTTAAGTTGTTCGAGGGAGTCTGATTTGTTGGAATAAACCTTGCTTTTTAAGTATCCCCACAAAAAAAGTCAGGCGGAGTTAAATCCGGAGAACGTGGTGGCCAGTCAAAATCGCCGTTTTTCGAAATCAAGCGTTGTGGGAACATTTCCTTCAATAAACCCATTGTTTCGTGTGCGGTGTGGCATGTTGCGCCGTCCTGCTGAAACCAGTAGTCGTCCATACCATTTTCAGCCACTTCATTTGCCAAAAAGTCGCGAATCATTGCTCGATATCGCACTCCATTCACTGTCACTGTCGTGCCTCCTTCATCTTCAAAAAAATACGGTCCAATGACCCTTTCCGCGCAAATGCCGCACTACACAGTAACTTTTGGTGAATGCAAGGGCTCCTCATGGATTAATTGTGGATTTCTCGGGCCCCAGTATCGAACATTTTGCGTATTAACACTGCCACAAAGCGTAAAATGAGCTTCGTCGGTCATAATCACACGGCTCCAAAAATCAGGTTCACCGGCAAGAATGTTTTGCATGTTTACGGCATATTGAATGCGACAAGGCTTGTCTTCTGGCTTCAGTTGTTGTGCCAGTTGCATCTTGTAAGGGAAAACATGCAAATCAACCTTCAAAATCGTCCATAAGTTCGATGGAGAGAGGCGAAACTGCTGAGCTCGTCGGCGATACGATGTTCCGGGGTTCTCTTCAACATCGGCTCTTACGGCATCAATAACCTCACCACTTCGACGTGGACGTGCTTTAATCTTAGGCTTTGATGTTGCCAAAGACCCACTTTTATTAAATTTAGCCAATAGACGACGAATTGTCTTCGGCGTTGGCACTTTTCTACCGCGATATTTTTTCCTGTACGCACGTTGCGTTTTAAGAGAAGAGACAATGATACGTAATGGTGTGGTGGGTTTATGGACTTTCGGGAGGCCATAGGCTCTGGGTAATATCCCATCACTGGTATGCATGTTCAAGTGTTGCGACCCTGTGATGTATCCTTTATTTAGCCAAGAGTTTAGGATCTGGTTCATTGTGTTAATGATTTTCTTCATTGGATTTCTGGAGATGGTGATATATGTTTCTTTATCTTCTAATAGGGACAACATCTTAGAATTGTATTCATGTAAGTACATAGCCACAGTTGCATTTCCTTTGTCAGCTTTCGTTAAGATAATCTCAGGGTTATTTTTTAAGAAGGTTTTAGTCTCGTTCAAAGTTTTTATTAGTAATTTGTCATTGTCATTTAACGATTGTGGTGAGTTTAGCCATTTTGTTAGTATGGAAGAGGTGTGGTTCCTTATGTTGATGTTATGGTTGTGATTCATTCTTGAAATTGTGGATTCAATCCTTTTGATGAAATCATAATAGATTGAATTATTGTTGTTAGTTACAGGGAAACTAAAATTATTTCCTTCTTAAAAATTTAATTAAAAAAACTGTCAGCCGGCATAGGCTGACCCCCCTCCCTCTGACCACCTCCTCCCCCTGACTACCCCCCTCCCCCCCCCAAGAACGAGTATAAAAGGACTAGCGCAACGCGAGGGAGCTCAGTATCAGAGTCTCCCAGCCCTGATGAAGCAGACTGCAACGCCCAACGCCTGCGAAACGTCGACACCACACTGCAAACGGACGCGGCAACCATCCGGAAGCCATGAAGACTAAAGAAGACAACAGCCGCGAAAGCCTGAAACCCAAGATTACAAGCCTCCACGGAAAGGCAACTCTCGGGTCGCTAAACCTTTTCACAAAACTTAGGAAGTCCTTGCACTTACAACTGTGCTCCTTAGCATTCCTGAAACGGTGCCGCGACCACCAAACGGTACCGAATTTCTTACAAATAAAAAACCCCTTCCCGCCCTCCAAACAATCCACAGCCATCCTGAGACAAGCGTCACTGAGACTACTCAGGGAGAGAATCGCGACAACCAAAAAGGGCCTAGCCGAGACTTCCAAAAAACTTCTCGAGCTACATCTATCCCTCTCCGACAAAATAGAACCGGATCTGTGTCAAACCATAGACCGGATCACACACGAGCAAGCCACCCGCTCGGCAGAATTAAGAACCAAAATACAAAAAGAAAAATTTGCAAAAATGAAACCACATACGCAAACAGCAGCTCCTCCCCTGACAGTAAAGAACCTTAGTAGTCAGAACCTTTCACCCGCCGAAACAGCCATCCTTGCCAAAGGACACAACTTTGCAGTCACCCCCTCCAGGATCCCGACAGAAGAGAATATCAGCCAAATAGAAACCGCCATCTTCCAACTCCCACCTGAAGCAGGAAACAACATCAGAGAGCAGTCAGCCCAGATCCTCCGAAAAGCCAAACTTCCCATCCAAAACATTAACAGGGAAGAACGACTAGCGCTTCGAAGCCTAAGACAGAATGACGACATCCTCATCCTACCGGCGGACAAAAGCAACGCAACAGTGGTGATGGACAAAAGAGACTACCACAACAAAGACAACACCTTGCTGTCCGACA